CCTCGGCTTCGTGGACGTCGGGCGGCTCTCGAGATCTTCTCGGGGGGGGCTCGCTGGACGGGGGCTCTCGCGCAGCTCGGTCTGGCGGTCGCGGCTCCGATCGACATCAAGTTCGAGGGTTGGGGCGACCTGCTTCGGCCCAGCATCGAGACCGTCGTTCGCCAGTGGATCGTCTCTCGCAAGGTCTGGTTCGTGCACTTCGGGACTCCGTGCACTCCGTGGTCAGTTGCTCGCCGTGGGGCCAACGATACGTCTGCTATACGCGCCGGTCGGCGGTGTGCTCATGTCACTCTTCGTCTACTTCGATTGTGCGTTCAGTTCGGCGTCAGGTGGTCCCTCGAGAACCCCCGGGGATCCCGGCTCTTCTCTTGGGAGCCTCTTCAGAAGTTCCTGTCCGAGCATAGCAAGGTCTCCGTGGTGTATGACTGCTGTCAGTTTGGAGCCCCGTACCAGAAGCCCACCAGGATTGAGTCTGACCTCCCCGAGCTCGGTATCCTTGAAAGGCGTTGTCTTGGAGGTCATGCCCACGAGCATCTTCAGGGGAAGGTCAAGGTCCGTGATCGCCAGGGTCGGCTCAAGCAGTTCTGGCGCACGACCCTGGCTGGAGCCTACCCTCCTGGAGTCTGCCACAGCGCCGCCCGGGCCTTGGCGCGCGCGGCGCCGCCTGCAGCCTGGCGACGAGATGGGGATCCACTGCTGCCCGGTCACTGGGAGGCTGAGCTCCGCCGTGCAGCCAAGATGGTCGACGTCCAGCCGTCCCTCGAGTGCCCCAGCTGCCCGCGGAAGTGGGTCGCGCTCTGGCCGCCAGACGCCGAGGGGTGGGGCCGCTTCGTCGGCCTCCCGCGGCCGCGGGCAAGGCCGAAGCCTCGGCAGAGGCCGGGCGTCGGCTGCCCGGGCCCGCCAGGTGCCCGCTGACTCCTCGCCGGGCTTCCTGCGGCGTTCGCAGGTGCGGCCGGCCACTCAGGCCCGCTACCTCGCCAGCGTCGCCGTGTTCGCCACGGCCATGGGTGTCGTCGCCGACCGCTGGGTGAGCAATGACCTCCCCCTGGTGGACACACTCCTTGAGGAGTACTTCGAGCAGCTCTACGTCGACGGCGGCAGCAAGAGCACGGCCCGCTACACCTTGGCCGCCTTGGCCTACCGTTTCAGTGTGTCGCTTCGTGCCCCAGGCGTCTTCCCGAAGGCGAAGGGCGCCCTCGCTGGCTGGGGCAAGCTCGAGCCGGACGTCACCTCGGAGCCGCTCTGCTGGGCTGCTGCGTGCTTGATGGCTCTGTACCTGGCCGGCCTCAACACGGAGATTGCCCTGCAGGCCGCCCGCGGCCTGGTGGTGCAGTTTGACACGTACCTGCGCCCTGGTGAGCTGCTGGACCTCCGCGTGCCCTGCTGCATCCTGCCGCAGCCGAGTGCCGGCTCAGGGTACAACAAGATGGGGCTCGTCGTTGGCGCCTCCGCGCTGGTCATGGGCGACGACGTGCACACGCGCGTCACCAAGACTGGCCTCCAGGACGACACCGTGCTCATCGATGGCCAGTCTCGTGCGGGTGTGGCTGGCGCGCTCATGGCCCTCGTCAAGAGCGCCAGCCAGGCCCGCCAAGGGCGCCTCATGTTTCTCCACTCGTACGCCTCGTACAACCGCTTGCTCAAGAGAGCCGCCGTCGCCGTCGGCCTCCCGACCAATTGGGTGACAGCCCACCTCCCTCGGCACGGCGGTCCGTCGGAAGACTACTTGAGAGGCGCCCGCTCGCTGGCCGACATTCAGTCTCGTGGCAGGTGGTCGAGCTTCCGTTCTGTACAGCGCTATCAGAAGAGCGGCCTTGCACTTGCATCCTTCAGACGCCTCTCGGCCGCTGTGAAGGCAGAGGCTAAGCGTGCGGAGGCCTTGCAGTTGTCCTTCCTCTCGTAGTGTGCCTCTCGGCGCTCAGCCTGCTGCAGTTTTCCCTCGGCATGCCAATGGAGTCGATATGGGATTTACTCTAGCGTTTGATATGGGTTTGATTAATGGTCTGGCCAGACTGTCAGATTTCTCGAGCCCCCTCGGCCTTGTGGGCCAGGGGCTCTCAGTGTTTCAGCTCTGCCGTCAGCCGCCATCGCAACTGCACTCAGGCGTGGGCCTGAGCTCCGGCGCCTGTAAAAAGAAATGAAAGTCCTCGTCGCGCCCGCTGTCTTTTTCCGTTAGGCTGACGCCGTTCCGAGTCTCTTGGGACCCACGCCCTGGGAGGGGTGTCCGTTCAAGATTGCATTGCATTTGGTCTCATCGCTTGTGCATTCGCTTTCTCCCCTCCCGCTGCCTCTTCCCCTCAAGCCTTTCTGCCGCCCCGCCCTTCCCACCCTGGGAAACGCTGGAGGAGAGGCACAGTAGCTTGGACTTCTGCGAATTCGGGTTTGATTAATGGTCTGGCCAGACTGTCAGATTTCTCGAGCCCCCTCGGCCTTGTGGGCCAGGGGCCCTCAGTGTTTCAGCTCTGCCGTCAGCCGCCATCGCAAGTGCATTCAGGCGTGGGCCTGAGCTCCGGCGCCTGTAAAAAGAAATGAAAGTCCTCGTCACGCCCGCTGTCTTTTTCCGTTAGGCTGACGCCGTTCCGAGTCTCTTGGGACCCACGCCCTGGGAGGGGTGTCCGTTCAAAATTGCATAATCATCATCATCATCACCACCATCACCATCATCAGCATCATCAGCATCAGCATCAGCATCATCACCGTCGTCATCATCACCATCATCATCATCATCAGCATCACCGTCATCATCATCATCATCATCACTATCAGCACCATCACCATCATCATCATCATCATCCTCAGCATCATCAGCATCAGCATCGGCATCATCACCATCACCATCAGCACCATCAGCATCATCATCACCAGCATCATCATCATCAGCATCATCGTCCGCATCAGGATCATCATCAGCATCAGCAGCATCAGCATGAGCATCATCATCATCATCATCACCATCACCATCATCAGCATCAGCATCAGCACATCATCACCATCATCATCATCAGCATCATCATCATCGTCATCGTCATCATCAGCATAAGCATCAGCATCAGCATTATCACCATCACCGTCACCATCACCATCATCATCAGCAGCAACATCAGCGTCATCAGCAGCAGCAGCAGTATCAGCATCAGCGTCAGCATCAGCACCATAGCCATCACCATCACCAGCACCACCATCATCAGTATCACCATCCCCATCATCATCAGCATCATCAGCATCAACATCCGCATCATCACCATCATCATCACCACCATCATCATCAGCATCAGCACATCATCATCATCATCAGCATCATCATCTTCATCATCAGCCTCAGCAGCATCAGTATCAGCATCAGCATCGGCATCAGCATTGGAATCAGCATCATCAACATCAACATCACCATCACCACCATCATCCGCATCATCATCAGCATCAGCATCAGCACCATCAGCATCAGCATCAGCATTAGAATCATCACCATCATCACCACCAGCATCATCATCATCAGCAGCATCAGCATCAGCCTCATCACCATCACCATCAGCACCATCACCATCATCATCATCAACATCATCACCGTCATCATCATCAGCAGCATCATCATCAGCAGCATCTGCGTCATCAGCATCAGCATCAGCATCATCACTATCATCATCACCACCATCATCAGCACTATCAGCATCAGCGCATCATCATCAGTATGAGCACCATCATCATCATCAGCCCCATCACCATCATCAGCATCAGCATCAGCATCACATCATCATCATCATTACCAGCTTTTGCATCATCAGCATCAGCATCATCGCCATCATCATCACCATCATCATCAGCATCAGCATCAGCATCAGCAGCATCAGCATCAGCATCAGCAGCACATCATCATCATCACCACCACAGCATCATCAGCATCAACATCAGCATCACCACCATCATCATCACCATCAGCATCAGCATCAGCACATCATCATCATCATCATCATCATCAGCATCATCATCATCATCATCATCGTCACCATCACCATCACCATCATCACCATCAGCATCAGCATCCGCATCACCATCAGCATCAGCAGCATCAGCTTCAGCAGCATCAGTATCAGCATCAGCACCAGCATCATTACCAGCATCAGCACCATCACCATCATCACCATCACCATCACCATCACAACCATCATCATAAGCATCAGCATCAGCATCATCAGCATCAGCATCAGCAGCATCACCATCATCATCATCAGCATCATCATCATCATCAGCCTGATCAGCGTCAGCATCAGCATCACCAGCATCAGCAGCATCATTAGTATCATCAGCATCAGCATCATCACCATCACCACCACTATCAGCATCAGCATCAGCATCAGCATCAGCATCATCATCACCAGCACCATCAGCATCAGCAGCAGCATTATCGTCATCAGCATCATCACCATCATCATCACCGCCATCATCATCAGCATCAGCATCAGCACATCAGCATCATCGTCAGCATCAGCACCATCACCATCAGCACCACTATCATCATCATCATCATCATCAGCATCAGCATCATCAGCATCAGCATCACCATCATCACCATCACCACCATCATCAACATCAGCACCATTACCATCACCATCAGCGCCATCACCATCATCATCATCATCACCATCATCATAATCATCAGCATCCGTATCATCATCAGCATCAGCATCATCATCATCAGCATCATCACCACCATCACCACCATCATCAGCAGCATCAGCATCAGCACATCATAATCATCATCATCATCATCATCATCATCATTATCACCATCATCAGCATCATCATAATCAGCATCAGCATCAGCATCAGCATCATCACCATCAGCATCAGCAGCATCAGTATCAGCATCAGCATCATCGGCATCATCATCATCAGCATCATCATCAGCACCATCACCCTGCGGGGACCAGCTTCTCACCCTGTCGCAATTTTCCAGGACTTCCCTGGGGCGCGCGGCAGGGGGCCCTGCCGCCCTCCGGCAGGACGGCGGCGTGGCCAAGGCCAGCAAGGACGAGGTGACCGCAGCGCTCAAGGAGCACTGGACGAAGAGGCCTCGTTTTAAGTCGGGCCTGTCCCTCTACAGGAGGAATATTTCAAAAACAGTCTCAACATAGTCCGTGGCCGTTTTTTTGCTAAACAAAATCACACACATATATATATATATATATATATATATATTTATATATATATATACATACATACATATGCATATATATACACACATAAATATAATATATATATATATATAGATATATGTTCATTCTGTGTTTCGACTATGATTTATTTATCCTCCGAAATCCGCCTGTGTGGGGACCTGCCCGACCTAAGCCTCGTGCCGCCCCTCCTCCTCCTCCTCCCTCCTCCTCCCTCCTCCTCCTCCTCCTCCTCCTCCTCCTCCTCCTCCCCTCCTCGTCCTCTTCCTCCTCCTCCTCCTCCTCCACCTCCTCCCTCCTTCTCCTCCTCCTCCCTCCTCGTCCTCCTCCTCGCTCCTCGTCCCTCCTCCTCCTTCGAGGATCGAGCTTCGAGGAAGGAGGCTCCCTGACCTTTTGCACCTCTTACGGGGGGGGGGATGGGGGGGGGCCGCTGGCTCCTCGGGGCCGCGGCCGGCTGCGCCTCGCAGTCCTCGCCATACCGCACCTCATGTCTGGACGCCCGAAATGGGTACTGAAAGAATGGGTACTATGCCCAACAGCGGATCTAGTTCATTTTGAACAAGATCCGCTGTCCACGCCTCCGCGGTTTGTGTCCATTCGAGACAGGAGGCCTCCCGCCCAACAGCGGCCGCTGTTGGTTTGGGACATCATTGGTTGTTGGGCCTAGTGCCCATTCTTTCCGTACCCATTTCGGGCGTCCAAAACCTCATGGGAGAGCGCTGCACGTAGATCGGGCCGGACGAAAGGGGGGGATTGGGAAAGGGGGGCTGACGAAATCTGCTGCATGCATCTGGTTTCGGCCTCACCGAGGGGCCCGTTCCTCGATACATGGGCGCCTCCTGCGCCGGGAGGCGCCAGGTAAGTTAGCTACGTGAGCTGAGTCTCAAGCTCCCCATTTGCTATCCCCCCCTTTCGCCCGACCCGAACGTAGAGTTGAGTCGGGCCTGTTCCTCTACAGGGGGAATATTCAAAAACAGTCAAACAATAGTCTGGGTACTATCTTCTGACTATTTTTGGCCATTAGGGGGGGCATTTTGGTGGCCAAAATCCCCCTGTAGGGGGACAGGCCCGACTTACACGTGGAGTTGAGTCGAGCATGCCCCTGGAGAGCGCCGCGCCGAGGCCACAGCGGCAGCTCTCGTGCCTGGCACAGATCTGGTCCACCCTTGCCTGCGGGCCCCTCCCGGGCCCCTCCTGGCCCGCTCCTCGAGGCGGATGCAGCCGTGGCGACGAGCCTCCAGGAGGTCCCGGAGGGCCGCCGGTTTCTCGGCTGGCCCTCCTCCGAGTGAGGTCGTTGGCTGGCCTTTCGGTTGGGCGTGTCCCTCTGCAGGAGAAACATTCACAAGTAGTTAAAAGATAGTCTGGGGACGACTGTTTGGTGAGGGTTTGACAGTTTTTGAGTCTTGTTGGGGGTCTGGCCCATTTTTCGTGGAAAATTCGCCTGCAGGGGGACACGCCCGACCTAAACGCGGAAGCGGCGGCGGCCCGCCGCTCGAGGTGCTCGGCCGTTTCTCGCCGGCTCCGGCAGGTCTTCCAGCCTCGGGGTGCCGCCCACGCAGCTGCGCCCCCTGCTTCCGGACGTCCGGGAGTCCGTGCTCTCCGTGACAGCCTCGCGTTTTTGCGCACTCGCGAGCAATCACGTCGGATTTGCTGCGCGTTCTCGGAGGCGTCTCGTCGGTTCTCGGAGGCTTTCCAGTCTTGGTGCGCTTTCCGGCACCTCCGCCTCGCCGATTGCGTTGTGGGGGGGGCCCGGATCTCCCCGAAAGGCTACAGGCGACCCGAGTTATGATCCGAAGGTTTAATATCCGACGTTTTGGGCAAAGTATCGACGAAGCAACAATGATCTTGCATCAAGGGGAGCCCCTTGGCGGCGCCTCCAGCGCCGCCCCTGGCGAGCTCCGAGCGTCAGGGAGAGGGGTCCAGCGCAGATCCATGGAATCCACGCGGACCGTCAGAAAACGACTGGGGATAGTCGGGGACACGGTCGGGGCTTCCTGGACCCCGACTTGGGCTTTGGTCGACTTGATCAAATATCGCGCCGAAGATGGTTTCGCAATGTTCGGTGTGCAGGGGACGCTCACGGGCGGATGCAAAGCTCGTGGTCCGAAGTCAGTTTGGATCTCGTTCAACAGATCCCGCACGCTTGACCTTGGGTTCCAGCCCGATGGTAGCCGCGCCGCGAAATTTTTCCCATGTTCAGCCCTGGGAAGCAGCGAGGGGAAGAAGAGGAGGACAGGGTCAATGTTTGTTTATGTTTGATTTCCTCTGGGGTGGTGGGCGCTGGAGGCCATCGGGAACTTCCGAATGCCTCGGGGCACTCGCGTAGACTTGTGTAGTTTTCCAGAGGAGGGGGTGGAACAAGTCGGCTTCGCTCAGGCGGGGCAAGACGAAGGGGGATGGCTTGCTGAGAAGGCAGGGTGCTTCAATGCAGCCATCCTGCCGTACGAAGAGGCTTCATCTGCGAAGCCACCTGCCTTCTGAAGGGGCACTGACCCCCAAACCCCAACTTAATGTCCAAAACCTGAATGATGACCCCTCCCCCCTGGATCCCACTGCAATTGATTCGCCGCCGAACTATGTTTTAGCTGCCCCCCGAGTACATAGTCCACGGGGGCCGAACGATGCGATTGATAAATGCACACATGTATGTTTGCAAACATAAATGTGTATACACACGCACGCACGCGCATGCATTTGCATATGCGCATGAACTGTATGCGTGAAGATGTGCAGGCTACTTCGGTCGACGAGTCGGTAGTTTTCTTCTTACTGGGACACTGCATGTACGTGCGCGCGCGGTGGCGTCCAGTTCTCGCGCGCGGTGTGAGGCTGAATGGCCCGATGTTGGTTCTCAAAATACCAAAATTTGCAGCTAGATTTTCTCACGCGGTTTCGAGGATGGCGCATGAGATTGATTGGCCTCATGCTGGCTCCAGAATCCTAAATTTACCAGTGGATGTTCTCTCACCGTTTCGGGGGGGCACACGTGTCGCCCGTGATTTTTGTTTTGAAAATGGTTTTATGTTGGCCCCGCGATTCCCAAGTTTACAGGTGTCACTGGTTGTTTTTGCGAGGCTGACTGTTTTTCTGTTGACCCCCATAATCCCAGATTTGCAAGTGGTTTTTTCCCACACGGTTTCGAGGGTGACACGTGTCACTTGTTGTTTTTCTGAGGTTGAATGGCCTTACGCTGGCTCCCTGAATCCAGAATTTACTATTGGTTTCTCTCACTCGGCTTCGGGGCTGACACGTCTCACCGGTCGTTTTTTGCGAAGCTGAATGGCCTCCTAGAGTCCCAGAATTATAACGGGGCTATCATTTCGGGGGTGATACGTGTCGTCCGTATTTTTGGTGAGGTTGAATGGCCTTGTGTTGGGCGCGGAGCGCCAGGGCGGTCGCGGGGACGTCCCCGGCGGTGTGGTTTGCCCCGCCTTCTGGTTGTTTTTAATTTGTGACTACGGCGCTGGGATTTTTTGTTCTAATTGTCCTGCCAGATTGGTTTGTTTATATATATATATATATATATATATATATAGATGTATACATGTATATACCGTTTTTAGACATTACTCGATCGGTCGTCCTACGTCGCAAGAATCCCCGCACCAGTTTCCGAACCAGTAACTTATCCATAACCATCGCTTGGAGTATCGATCTTCGGGGACCTCGGCAGGCGGTGGATGCGCCGATCTGCCTCGAGCGGTTGTTTCCTATCTCGGCCGCTGACTGTTTGGCCGGGCTGCGGCCCCAGGAGATCCACAGTCTTGGCTTCGGGGTGTCCAGAATTGGCCAGGCGTCTGGGCCCATGATCTATCTAGGCCGCCCTGTCTATCTGAGCCGCCTTTTGCTCAGCCGCGCGCAGAGGGGGGTGGGGGGAGGGGGGAGGGCTCCTTAGAAGCACCCCTGCTTCTTAAGGGGCGCGGGCCTTGTGTGTAAATGTAGGGCCGGCGCCTTCTGAGAAGCAGCCTCCTTCTGAGAAGCTCTCCCCCCTGCCCTCCACCACTCGGTCAAGTCGTCCAGAGCCTGGCGCGCGCAGGGTGGACGCGCGGCCGCCCGCCCCCGTGCGCAGAGGCAGGCGGACAGCCTCTTCTACCGGCTGTACCCTCAGTCGGCCTCCGGCACGTCGGAGGAGGACATGGACAGGCGGCTCGCCGCAGAGGGTGAGCACGCGACATCGTCAAGCAATGGAGAAGCGTCCTGGCGTGCCTATAGGCCTACCAAGCAATGTTCTGAGAACCTTTTTGTGGCCTGCACGAAATGTTCTTAGTACATTTCTGACTGGGACTGTCTAGTGTTAGCGCATCGGGTTGATGTCTTCAGAACAGTGATTTTGTTCGTAGAACATTCCTGGTAGGCCTACAGGAATGCCGGGACGGTCGGTCCCTGCTCAATCATCGGGAATCGAAGAGTCTTGTTGCATGGATTTCTCGAGCGTTCCGCCGCCTCGAGCGGTGTGGGGGGTCGGTGCAGTTGCTGCGCACCTGCTCTGAACGCACACCGCTTGAGGAGGCGGAGAGCTTGAGAGATCCAGCCATCAGAGGGCACGTCGGAGCAGGTTATAGTCGGGCGCCTTGCCGCAGAGGGGGACCACGCGCCATTGAGAATCGAACAACATGTAAGCATATGCTTTCTCAGGTCCGCACGGGCTTTCGAGTGGTATGCATATGTAGTTGTTTCCTCTTCTGGGGGCGCGCATCGCTGGGAAGCTGCAAAGACCTGGTGTTCTATACATAGGCCACTGGCCACTGGCCACCTATGTAGGCCACCTACGCTGCGCCCTCTGCCGCCGGCCACCTGCGTAGGCTAAACCATCTTGCGGCTTACGCTATCATGGGGCCTCCCGGGGACATCTCGGGGCTTCTCGGGCCATCTTCGGGCCATCTTTGGCAAGACCAGAGGGAGCTATCTTGAGCTCATCATGAGGCCGTCTTGGGGCTATTTTGAGGCCTCCTTAGGCCATTCCAGGGACAGGTTGGGAGGCAAGCCCCTGGGCTGGAACCGCAGAGTGCGAAGCGCGCGTGCGTGATTCTAGCGTATGCGCATCCCTTTCAGCTCCACCGACAGCATGCAGCCTGTCTTGGCCCTCATGACACCGCCTGCGTCGTCTCGAAGGGCTTCGGTGGACAAACGCGCAGTGGCGCTGGCAGACGTTCGGGCAATCATCAAAGATCACTCAGGAGTGTGTCAAGGCCACTGCAAAGTCTAGGAGCCCTGAAGCACACGGCTCGCGTTTTTCCAATGTTCCTGTGAAGCCCACCCTGGGGTTAGGGGTGGCCTGACCGACCTCTAGCACATCGATCCCTTCTGTGGTGACCCCCCCGCCTCACTCCGAGACGTGGGCAGGCGGCGGAGCCTCGAGACTGAGGGGCTCGTCGCAGAAGGCGTCGATTAGCCGCACCCGACGGAGGGTTCAAGGTGTTGATGTTCGTAGCCGCGTTGGTTCAGGTTCTGATGGCATCCGCTTGTGAATCAAGTCTTGGAGGGTTGCACTCACACTGGATCGACACCAGCAGAGGCACATGGCGTTGTCGTCAGACGTATCGCCAGGAGCTTCGCCTGAAGAATTGAACCAGTACTCTGTAAAGTTATCTGCTCTCGAACTGAGGCTCGATCACGATCATGATATTCAGGTTGGAGAGGGCTCGAACGCCCCATGGCGCAGAGAAGTCGAGGAGTACAAGACTGCATCGAATGACGCCATCGCCAGAGAACGCGCATACCAGTATTCGGTGAAGTTGTCCGCCTGCGAACTAAAGCTCAACCAGGATCAGGAAACGAAGGCTGCACAGAAGCCATTTTCTCAAAATCTGCTATTGGACGCATCTGCCAGCTCCCGTGACTCTGACATTGTGGAGCTTAACGTAGGAGGGACGCTAATGAGCGTCACGCGAGCCACACTTCTTCGCGCTGGCCAGGGATCAAGGTTGGCCGCGATGTTTTCGGGCAATGGGGAACATAGGCACATGCGTGATCCGCAGGGGCGAATTTTTCTCGATGCTAATCCGTATTGTTTTGACATGTTGTTGAGTTTTCTTCGTCTGAAGGGTTTTGAAGACCCAGATGTGCCCACAGCTTTACCACAAGTTGCGGAGGACAGAACGATTGAGTTCGCCACGTTGGCAAAATATTATGCAGGGCCTTTGTTTGAGCCCGACGGTGAATTAAAGCACGGGTCCAGTGCAACGACATCGTCACCTGATGGGGATAAGTGTTGAGTGCCCACATTCGATGTACCAGTCCATTTCCCAGGAGAGGCTGATGATATTGGATGATGCAGAAGGCTTCGCGAAAATAGTGAAAGAGTTAGATATGCGCTTGTTGAGACGACCAGGGTGCCCGTTTGAGCATCTCGCATGAACAAGCTCATGTGTTTGGGCACGTCTTCCACCAGAGGTCATGTGTTGAACGTGGTGGTTCGTGGTATCCCCTCCTCAAACAATCTGGACGAGCGCGCGCTGTAACGGCTCGAACTGGTAGTGCTCGGAGCCGCTAGTTGCACATCGCGGGGACGCCGAGAGACGTCCGGCGCCGTTATCTCTTCGTGACGTGGCTCCCCCCCCAGCGGTCCAAGCACGGGAACCGGCTTCTGATCCCGAGTCGTCTTGTGACGCACCCGAGGCCCCGCAGGGGCCCGACGAGAGGTCTTCCGCGGGCGCCGCGCTGGAGCTCCTGCCGCGGCTGCCCAGCCATGGCCTTGCCGTTGTGCAGCCACGGCATGCGGCAAAAATGACCTGTCGCGGGCTTCTCTTGGGGTTCGGGCGTTTTCGTCGGTCCGCCGTCGTTATCGTCGTTATCGTCGTTATCGTCGTTATCGTCGTTATCGTCGTCGTCGTCGTCGTCGTCGTCGTCGTCGTCGTCGTCGTCGTCGTCGTCGTGGTCGTGGTCGTGGTCGTGGTCGTGGTCGTCGTCTTCGTCGGCCCTCGAGGGTGCCCATGCAGCTTAGGCTCCCGTGGTCCTGGCGCCCGTGCCCCTGCATCGTGTTCTCACGCGCCTCGACCGTAGGACCCTGAGGTCCCAGACATCTGACGTCGCGAGTGCTTCGCAGCGTGGCTCCTCAGAGGTCCTGACCCTGTTTTTTGTTCCCCTCGAGAGGAGGAGGAAGAGGAGGGAGGAGGAGGCGGAGGAGGAGGAGGAGGAAGAGGAGGAAGAGGAGGAGGAGGAGGAGGAACGGGAGGAGGAGGAGGAGGAGGAGGAGGAGGAGGGGGAGGAGGAGGAGGAAAGGGAGGAGGAGGCGGTCTTGGCCCTCCCGAGGCCCGCCGAAGAGGCCCCCCGGGTGCCGAACGTTGCCCAAAACGCCCCGCCGTTCTGGTTCACGGCTGGAGCTGGACGTGGCTGAACCCCGACCCCCCCCGGCCGCGGCACGCAGGGGCAACATTGGAGGATAGGCTTCGTGGAGGGCGCATCGCCCCCCCGATCGCCCATTGATCGCCGATGAGAGCCCGATGGCCCATCCCGCCAAGGGCCGTGCCGATTCACCAATCGAGGGCGTTTCGCCGATCCATCGGCGAGATTGCGCCGATCATCACCACCCACCAGACCCCCCCAACCCAACCCGAAGGGCCAGATTTTTCCTCGATTTCCAGTTGGGGGGGGGGTCGGGGAACATTGAAACAACACACATGGAACCCCCCTACCCCCAACCCGAAATTCGGGCCAAATTCGGGTCTCTGGGTTGGGTTGGGCTGGTCTGGAAGGCAGTCAGATCACAGGTCGATTTCGCCCCTTCCCCCCCCCGGAGCCACTCCTCCGCCCCTTGCGGTAGAGGGAAACACTTACTACTGAACACTCCCCCTCCCCCCCAAACTCAATGTTGGCACGCGCGGGGGAGGCTGCGGTCGAAGTGCATCTCATCAGGCCCACCGCCAACTGTGAACATTGGGGGGAGGGGGAGGCGTTGACAGATGAGTGTGGCAGAGGTGTTCGCTAACTTGTTCCGAGGCCTGTACCCTTGCCTCCCAAGTCAGTAGGGCCAGAGCTGCAGACGGACAGGAAAGACGGAGAAAGGGACGGGCGACGGAAGGCGCGCACAGCACCGGCACTTCACAGCCTGGCGCTCGCAGAGGTCGCCGTCGGACAGAGAGCTCGGGCCCCGGAAACGGCATGGCAGTTTTTTGTTCCGTTTCCGAAAATGTATCTCTTGAACATGGAAACGGCACAAGAACGGAAACGGCACAAAAAAGGCTCCAGGATTGGAGTTGGAGCCGGATCCGGTAAACAAAAACGGCGACGGAACCAGCAAAGAACGGCGTCGGAACCGGCAACAAACACGGCAAAACGGAATCGGTAAACACAAACGGCCCTGTCGTTTCCAGGGCCCACCTAAGCTCCCGAGCCATTTCCATGGCAGAGCGGCAGCTATGTATCGAAAAGCACGGTCCTACCGGGGGGCAGCGCAGACCAGAGCACACCCCGTGTGCTTGACGCCCCCGCGGGCGGGAGGTGCTCTCCAAAGACATTCCTCCTTCCTCGCTTTGGTCTGCCCCTCGCCTCGAGCCCCTTCAGCTTGCGCAGCATTTGTAACATGATGGTTCGCCTGCAGTTGCTGCTGTCGTTTTGCCGCTGCCACGTCGGTTATGGTACTACGGCTGGCAGGACTGGTCCGACACAGTCGGGTACCAACACCGGTGATTCGCCTCTCATCGAGGCCATCGCCTCCGGGACTGAGACAATGAGTTTGGAAGAGGCGCTGAGGGTTCTTGGATACCGGTTGTGCCATATGGAAGATCTAATCAAAGATCTTTCTCACCCAGCAGCCTGGTGCAGTTTCGCAGACGGGCATTCAACAGCAGAGGCACTCTTCCACAATGTTACCGAGGAGGGGTACAACGCGACAATGGACAATTCGATGTGCGACGTCTACGCAGACCAGCTGCGAATATTCCTAGATGCGAGAGTCGTGCACACGCAGCACCCTAAAGAGAACGCTGGGTGACTTGAGTCTTTCTCGACTTTGCTCTCCTCAGTCCGGGCGCAGAGCACCCCGGCCAGCCTGACTTGTCCAAATTTCTTTGATTTCATGCCAGTGCTTCAGGACATGAACGTTGTACGGTGCATGATGTGTACAGTAACTATAGGTTTGACACACTGCGAGCTGATGTACACGCCCCATAGCAAGTCAACGTTTTTGTTGGTCGTTGTTTTGCCGATCGGCGCAGGCCCATGTACCCCCCCCTCACCACCCCCCCGTTTCGATCAGGTGGAGCCTCCCCCATGATGGGCGCACTGCTGCAAGCAGTCGCACTGAGCAGAGGTCCAGAGCCAGACCCCCCCGTCAGCCCAATGTCGAAACGCCGAATCAAAAAACGCTCACCAAACCGCTCGAGCGGTGGCAGAAACAGTACGACAACCACAGCGCCCACGTGTAGCAGACTGTACCCCCTGAGCGCCTGCTCGTATTTGGCGTCAGTCAGGGGTGGGAGCCGCTTTGCAAGTTTCTTGAAATGCCCGTGCCGGACCTGCCGCTTCCCCACAGGAGCGGTTCCCTCGCTGTCCGTCTGGTTTCAACAATCTTGGCGATTGTGATCTACGCGTGGTTGCCGTGTTTGGCCCTACTATTCGTTTTTTATCGTTGATGTTGTCATCGAAGTTGGGGAAAGGCGAAAGCAGCGTGACATCAGAATCAGTACGCAATTCGTGAACACTGGTAGGTTATACAATAGAAGTTGTTGTGCGGGCAGGACAATGCGGAATGACAAGATTGGTAAGACATTCATTGGGTGCGCATTGACTCAGTGTGACGGCTCGGTTGTTGGTGCACCTCGGACAACTGTTGAATATCATTGCACTCCACGGCGAAATTCCGAACGTTTCGTGTAACCCCACCAGCCCATGCAGCAACGATGCTATGGCAAGTTGCCCTGATCAGGGATGCGGAGGAGCATGCAGCGGAGTCAGGGGTTGGGGAAGTCGTCATACCCCGAGAGGAGGAGGAGGAGGATGGAGGACGAATCGGAGGAGGAAGGGCAGGGGGAGGGGGGGGGGCGGAGGAGGGACGAGGAGGAACATGCGGATGAGGAAGAGAAGGATGACGACCAGGAGGAAAAGGAGGAGGCGGAGGAGGAGCCGGAGGGGGGCGAGCAGAATGACCAGAGACCATTTGGATGTCTCCTGGAGTCTCTCCGGATGTCCACTAACATCTTCAGTGAGTCTTTTTGGGGCGTCGTGGGAGCCTCTTAGGGGCCTCTTAGAGCGTCGTGGGTGCCTCGGGGGAGCCACTTGGAGCCTCTTGGGGGTCTCTTGGGAGCCCCTTGGGGGCCTCTTGGGGGTCTGTTGGGCGCCTCTCGGGGCACCCTGCGGAGCGTTAGGGGCAATGTCGAGGCCAGTCTGGAGGAGTTCGAGCAAAGAAGGGGGGGGGGGTCCAACGACAGGCCCCCCCCCCTCGAGGCCGACATGTGCCCCAAACCTGTGTCAGGTCAACGTTTTGTGCCTTTTCGCCGAGGCCATCTTGGATGCTCCAGTTGGTCGCAGAACCCCCCGTCTGGGTCCAGGAGGGGGGAGGGGGAGGGCCAAACCCCTCCCCGACGGGGAAGAAGGGGGTCAAAACCCCTCCCCAGAGAGGAAGGGGGAGGGGGAGGGAAAAAGGGACAAACCCCTCCCCGAAGAGGAAGGGGAGGGGGAGTGATGAACCCCTCCCCGAGGGGGGAGAGAGATGGACAAACCCCTCCCCAGAGGGGAAGAAGGGGCCCTCTGAACTAAACACGCCGTAAAGGGCTGGTGGGATTCGCACTCTCCCCGGACTCGCATGTTCTTCCTCGGCTTGTTGCGTACAGCTGCCTGGGGAGGATACCCACGGCCAGGGCATGAGCAGTGGGGCGACAAAGCTCACACCCGGGAGAGACAGATGGCAGGGGGTGCGCATCGTTATTGTGAGCCTTCGGTGAGCTTCCTGTCGTTCGCGGTTCTCGCCCCTTCCGCCTCGAAGTTTACACACGGGAGAGACGGATGGCCGGGGATGCGCATCGTCGTTGTGATCCTTCGGTGAGCTTCCTGTCGTTCGCGGTTCTCGCCCCTTCCGCCTCGAAGCGTACACACGGGAGAGACAGATGGCCAGGGATGCGCATCGTTGTTGTGAGCCTTCGGTGAGCATCCTGTCGTTCGCGGTTCTCGCCCCTCCCACCTCGAAGCTTACACACGGGAGAGACAGATGGCCGGGGGTGCGCATCGTTGTTGTGAGCCTTCGGTGAGCCTTCTGTCGTTCGCGGTTCTCGCCCCTTCCGCCTCGAAGCTTACACACGGGAGAGACAGATGGCCAGGGATGCGCATCGTTGTTGTGAGCCTTCGGTGAGCATCCTGTCGTTCGCGGTTCTCGCCCCTCCCACCTCGAAGCTTACACACGGGAGAGACAGATGGCCGGGGGTGCGCATCGTTGTTGTGAGCCTTCGGTGAGCCTTCTGTCATTCGCGGTTCTCGCCCCCTCCTCCTCCTGCTCCTGCTCCGAATTCGAAATTCGCCTCCTGCTCCTCCTCGTCCTGCTCCTCCTCCTCCTGCTCCTCCTTGTCCTGCTCCTCCTGCTCCTTCGTTCGCGGTTCTCGCCCCTTCCTCCTGCTCTTCCTGCTCCTCCTCCTCCTCCTGCTCCTCCTGCTCCTGCTCCAACTTCGCCCCGTGGTCCAGGCGGGCGCGCGGGCGCGCGCGGGCCTGCGCGCTGCCTCGGAATCTTGGGACCTCCCTTGCTGGGCCTGCTTGCCACCACCACCACCATCAGTTGGAAGGGGAGGGGGTCCTCCTCCTCCTCCTCCTCCTCCTCCTCCTCCTCGTCCTCCTCCTTCCCCCCTCCAACTTAAAGTGGTGGTGGTGGAACACAGGCCCATCATCCCTCCCTTCTTCGACGTTGGCGCTCTTTCTCCTGCGCCGAAAGCCAGCCGCGGACATGGCGGGGAGCTATCACGAAAGTCACTGCAGCTGGCTTAGTCTACTCCGCCAGGCACCTCCCTCGACACGTGGTCGCAGCTCTCGGCGCCTCGAGGCGCCAGGCAGGCCAGACTCGTCGGGGTGTTCTCAACTGGTGCGGTGGTGACCACACCGCGCGGTGAGTCAGTGGGGATCCGGGGTCACCGCACGGTTTTGGACCGGGGTCGTGTTCCGAGGACGTCTCAGGCAACAGGGGCTTCTGAGGTCCCAAGGCCGTGCGGTGACGGAGCGATCGGTGAGGTCGGGGATTCCAAGGTCACCGCGCGGTCGTTCGCCTCACGGTTTGTGCCTCCGTTTTCACGTGGTTGGTTCTTGGCCTTCCTTCCGCCAACCCTTGTGTTGGACCCGATTTGTTCGAGTCGAAGGCCTTCCAGAGCCCTCTGTCCCCCCCAGGGCAAGCTCTGTGTCCCGAGCCGCTGTTCGACGGTCGGTTGATTGGTTGATTTTCTGGCTGGCCGGCTGGTCGTAGGGAGGAAGAAGAGGAGCAGGAACAGGAGAAGGACGACGACGATGTCTTGACCTCATCATGGAAAACAGCGACGGAAGGATTGTGCAACATGTTCGGCCTCCATGGTCCTTCACTGGGCCCCAGGGCCGTCAAACATTAACTATTCACGCTTCGCGTATCCCCATCAGTTGTGCGAGTGTCGGATACGGTGTGCACGCACTGGCTTCGGCTGAAGGTGGCCCACCTCGTGTACGCCCATCAGTGGTCCGTCTTCTGATTGGTTTCGACGCGGATCAGCTACCTTATAGCTACAGTGAGCCTTGATGAGACAGGCCTCTCTTGCCGCACCAGCGTTCTCATGGTACCGCAATGTGCCCGTGGTTGTCGCTCGCTGGCGCTTTTCTTCCCCTCCGTGGCCGTGGTCTGCCCGGCACTGTGCCCTAGCATGCAGGCTTCGCTTGGCAATGTCCAGTCGAATTTTCGCCCTGCACTGTGCCTCTCGCTTGTCCTGTCCCCTCCCCCGTTTGTGGGTCTAGAGTATGGCGCCGCAAGTGCGACTTCTCCTCCCCGTCCCACCGCCGGTTACTGCGCTACTGTGCCGGTCACCCGCTGACGCACTTTGCGTTTCAATTAGGGGCATTTTGTTCCTGGCATGTGCATACGCCACTGCGGCCAATTTACATCGTACCGCGCCCCGGACGTTGTGCCCGCTCCCTGGGCTTCTCCTTGGAGCCGCGAACCAAAAAAGTATCCCCATCAGCTCTTTCGCAAACGCTGCCAATGAGAGCTGACGGGAAACGGGCGGAAGATCTTGAAGCGAGGCCCAGGCGAGTTGTTGTCTCCAGGGAAGTGTAGAAGCGTGCAGTGGAGCATCTGCCCAGAGAGGCACGAGGAGTTGCAAGCAGGAGAAGGAAGAGGACGAGGACGAGGAGGACAAGGAACAGGAGGACGAGCACGGGAGCTTGGAGGAGGAGGAGGAGGAGGAGGAGGCCGAGGACGACAGATGCACAGAACGAAGATAACGAGAACGAGGAGGAGGAGGAGGAGGAGGAGGAGGAGCAGAAGGAGGAGGAGGAGGAGGATGAGGAGGACGAGGACAAGGATTCTGGCAGACATTTTTGGGTCTTATTCATGTCTTTTTGGCGTCCTCATGGGGCTGTCTCGGGGCCCGGGGTCTTGGGGCCCTCCGAGCTCTTGGGGCTCTTTTTAAGTGGTTCTGGGGCCGTCTTGGAAGCCCTGGAGGGCCTTTTGGGACCATCGTGGAGGCCATCGATCAAAGGATGGGGGGGGGGGGGGCCCTAAGTCTGCTCCTCCCTCAAGAGCCTTCGAACCTGTCTCTGGGGCCACTCTTCGGCACTCTTGGCGCCGTCTGGGGAGCCTCTTGGGCCCCCTCTGGGGGCTCTCCTGGGCCATCTTGGGGCCATCCCGAGGCATCAAAACTCCGTCGGTATTTGATCGACGTTGGCTTTTTGAGGAGATCCTGAGGGGCTCCGAGAGCACTTGGGGCCGTCTTGGAGCGGTCTTCGGGGTCTTTTGGGTCATGCTGGGAGCCATCTTGAACGTCCCGTCTCTCCTCCTCCTTCTCTCTGCTCTGCTTCCGTCGCTCCTCCTCCTCCTCCTCCCTGCTCCTCCCTGCTCCTCCTTGTCTATGGTCTCTAAAGGAGCAAGGTTTGTGCACATCATGGGGCCTCGCGCAGACTCCTGGGACCTCCAGGGACCACCGTCAACAGTCGCCTCCTTTTTTCCATTGCCAGAAACGTAAGGCTCGAATCTGCCAGAATCCGGATTTGCCGCCGTTCTATGTCGGCCCCGGCTCGATTTTTGACGGCCCAGTTATCGTGAGATGTTTGCAGTGGCAGCGTGACGTGACCAGGGCAAAGGTGGGAGGCGAGGAAGGGGCCAGTCACGGGCGTGATCGCGAATAATGCACAATGGGCTCTTTGTCCCCGTGTTTCGGCCGTTGGGGGGCCCGGCACCGTCAAGAGAACGATTCGGGATGAGAAGCAGGTCCCTGGGAAGGCGTCCGAGACCTCCTTCGGGAGCCACGCTGTGAAGCAGACCGCGACGTCGGATGTCTGGGGTGACCGTGACATCCACCGATATGATTTTGTTCCATCCGCGGCCATGGGGGTGGTTTTTCGTTCCGGATCCATCCTTGTTGTCCGGAGGCCCGGCAGAGGGCCCCAAAGGCCGAAACCGAGGAGCTATCGCAGGATTTGGGTAATCAGATCTTCGAAGATTTGGGGATCGGGCGGGGGCCAGGACAATAATAAAATCATTCCAGGGCGTTCCGGGACGCTCTGGGAAGGCTGCGGCGCCCGATACACCTCCAAGGCCCGCCGGATCTCAGAGATCCCCGATCTATCCCTGTCCGAGTTTGTCCCCGTCATGGCTTCTCAGGGAACGACGGCGATGACGAGGCCCCCCTGCGGCCTGCGGCCGCCCCTTCCCAGACTCGGCCCGCAGGTGGTGCCGCAGGGTTGCCGCCCGGCTGGCCGGGGAGGACCCGCCGCGCGCCCGTCCAGCCGCGGCCCAGCGCGTCTCAGGGGTTGGTTTAGCTTTGCCCAGCGCGCCAACGGCGATGCAGGTGCGAATTGTTGGAGCGCGTGGTATTTGAGCTTTCCTACGACAGTGCGCGCCCACAGCGACCGAGCAAAGGGGGAGTGGCCTCGGAAGCTCCGGGGAGCTAATGAGAGTGAGGTCGCCGGCCTCGCAGCCGCGGGTGGGAAGGTGGGTCGGCTGGACGCCCCCCCAATCAAGCTTGCCGAAGAGGGGGGGCAGCGTTGCCTTGGACAGATGGCGCTGCGCGCAGAGAAGCCCCAAACCCTAGACTGCAGGCGCGGCCCTGGGGGCGCGCACCGCCACGCCTGTGAGGATCCGCCAGTGAGAGCGAGCTGCGCGTCGAGCTCACCGTGGCATTGGCCCGCCGAGCGCTTGGGAGCGCCGGCGAGCGCCTGGGACCGCCTGGGAGCCTCTGGGAGCGCCTGGGAACACTTGGGAGCGCCGAAGGCGCCAGGGATTGCTTGGGAGCGCTTGGATGAGCTTGGAACGCTTGGGGGCGCTGGGGAGCGCGTGGGAGCGCCTGGGAGCGCATGGGAGCGCTTGGGAGCGCCTGTGAGCGCTTGGGACCGCTTGGGAGCGCCTCGATGCGCTTGGAACCGTTCGGAGGCGCCTGGAAACGCTTGGGAGCGCAGGGGAGCGCTTGGGAGCGCCAGGGGGCGCCTGGGAGCACTTGGGAGCGCCAGGGAGCTTTCGGGTGCGCTCAAGAGCGCCGGGGGGCGCTTGGGGGCGCCTGGGAGCGTCCGGGGGCGTTTGGGAGCGCTGGGGGGCTCCTGCGAGCGCCGAAGAGTGTGGGGGGCGCTTGGGAGCGCCTGGGAGTGCCTGATAGAACTTCAGCGCGCCGGGGGCGCGACGCCGTTCTGCGATCGAAGGGCTCCCGAGACGCCTGCCTGGGCGCCGAAGGGCGCCCGAGACGCTGGGGAACGCTGGGGGCCGCTTGGGGGCGTCTGGGAGCCCTTGGGAGCCCCTGGGAGCGCCTGGAAGCGCCTGGGAGCGCCTGGGGCGCTTGGGAGCGCTTGGGGGCGCCTGGGAGCGCTTAGGAGCGCTTGGACGGTTTGGGAGCGCCTGGGAGCGCGCGGGAACGCTGGGGAGCGCGCGAGAGCGCCTTGCCTGGGAGCGCCAGGGAACGCTTGGGAGCGCCGGGGGACGCGTGGGAGCGCTTGCGAGCTCCTGGGAACGCAAGGAAGCGCTTGGGAGCGCCTGGGAGCGCCGGGGAGCGCATGGCAACGTTTGGGAGCTCCTGCGAGCGCCGAGGAGCGTAGAGGAGCGCGTAAAAGCGCCTGATTGCACTGCCGCGCGCCGGGGGCACGACGCCTTCCTGGGATCCTGGCACGCGCGCCACTCCCAGTGGCTGGCGCCTGCGCACTCCCCCCCATGACAAGGGGGAGCATGGGGGGGGATCCCTAAACCATAAATGCAATGACTCTGGGCGGATGGGGCGGGGCAGCGCGCGCCCATCCATCCCCCCCGACCTCTTGAGGAGGGGGGGATACGATGGTTATGCTGAGACCGTGGGGTCGCGCTGTCGACCTCGAACGATATCGGCGGCAAAGGGCGAGCGCCAGTCGAGCCAGCGGGTAGAACTCAGGCCGACGCCAGTGTTGCGCTCCGCCAAGTAGAAGACCCCTACCAACCCGGAATCCTTTTGCTCACGTCGGCCCTCTTCTTCGCCGCCAAAGTATTAAAATTGCTCCAAGACTGCGTGGCGCTTCGGAGCGCCTGGAGCCGCCTGGGAGTGCCTGGGACCGCTTTGGGAGCGCATGGGAGTGCCTTGGAGCGCTTGTGAACGCCGCCGTGGGCGGACTCTGTAAAGGCCAGGACTGGGGCTCCCAGGAGCCCCGGTGGCTTCCGGGGCGCCTTGGGAACATTTGGGAGCGCCTGGGAGAGCCTGGGAACGCCCGAGTCCGCCGAGCTCATTTTACGATGCCCATGAACGCTTGGGAGCGTTTGGGGGCGCCCAGGACCGCCCAGGAAGCGCTTGTGAGCACCTGGGAGCGCCGGGAAGCGCTTGGGAAGCGCTTGGGAGCGTTGGGTGGCGCCTGGGAGCCCGTGGGAGCTCTTGGGGGCGCCTGGGAGCGCTTGGGAGCGCCAGGAAGCGTGTGGGCGCCTGCAGCATGGGAGCGCCTCGGAGCACTTGGGACCGCCTGGACGGAACGCGTGGGAGCGCTCGGGAGTGCTTGAGCGCGCTGGAGAACGCCTGGGAGCGCCTTTGCGCAGGGAAGCGCTGGGGAGCGCTTGGGCGCGCCTGGAAGCGCCCCGCCACTTCGTCAAAAGGGAACCTGGGAGCGCCTGGGAGCGCGTTTTCTCTTCTACAACTCTATCGGGGGCATGTCACTGATCTGCTGGCGATGTATCTCAATATTCCTGGTCGACGCTCCCGCCCTTAAGGCCCCCCCCTAGCGTTTCCCCCCACATCCAGCTAGAAATCATCCAAGGCGGGGGCTTAGTTATCCATAACCACCGCATGGGGGATCGATCTTCGGGGACCTCGGCAGGCAGTGGATATGGATGTGCTCGGGCCCGGGGGGCAGCTGTATCCATCCGTATCCACCCGCCGCTTGCCTAGGTCCCCGAATAGGTATCCCCCAGACGGTGGTCATGGATGAGTTCCCGCCCCGCAAATCGCCCTCCAGATCTTCGATGCCGATCTGGCCTTCACCGGGACTCGCATGCCAGCAGTGTTGTTTTTCGGCCCCAGCCCAGATTGTGAGATCCGCGCGGCGCCGACAGTATCAGCCACGGGCAGAGGGGGGAAGGGGGAGGGGGGAGGGCTTCTTAGAAGCACCCCTGCTTTTTAGAAGGCGCGGGCCTTATCTGTAGCTGTAAGGCCGGCGCCTTCTGAGAAGCAGCCTCCTTCTAAGAAGCCTTCCCCCCTCCCTCCGCCCCCTTGTGCGCGCCGCCAAACAGAAGCGACGGCAAGTTTTTCTGCACGTTCGGCTTCTGGAGGCCGTTGCACCTGGGCCGTTGGGCGGCCGCGGGCGCCCCGCGTGTGGTGGGCGTCCGGAGTTTCGCGCGGTGGGATGATGGGCCTGTTTTCCACCACCACCACCACAAGTTGGAGGGGAAGGGGGTCTTCCTGCACCTCCTCCTCCTCCCCCCTCCTCCTTCCCCCTCGAACTTCTGGTGGTGGTGGTGGTGGAAAACAGGCCCATTATGGGAGTCGCGATGTTCTTGTGCGCCGCAAGGATCTGAGGGTCCGGTCGGGCCCAGATCTTCAGATTTAGCGCGACACGCAAGACCATCTTGGCTGCCCGCTTTTTTAAGCGTGCGGCCTCCGGAGGCGGTCGTTGGGCCCCGCGGGGCCGACGTCACGGACAGACTGCGACACCTGAGGAGAGGGGGCATCCGCCGTCCTGATGTTTGTCCACCACGTGGCCCCCCAGAGGTTTGGACCCCTTCTTGGGGGCCATCTTCTCATCCCGAGGCGTGTCCTTTCATAGTCCCAGGCCCAGGCAATGATGAGGGCCGTCCAGAGACAAAAGACGCGCAAAGTGGTCCGTCGCGGTTTTCCCCAACGAGATGAGGTCTGTGAGCCATCGACTTAGGACCATATGCGGGGACGCCCCCCTCGCACTCTGACCCCTTGCGCACCCGCCGCCGCGGGGCCGCGGGGCCAGTCCTAGCCAGCGCTGGTAGTCGCGGGGCCATGGAGGTGCCATGGTGGCCGCGGGCGCCAGAAGTTCGGTCATCGAAGACAGGCTACCAGATGGGCTTATCTCGACACGCACATCAGCATGCCGCGAGACGACGAGCTGCAGCTCGGAGATTGGCTTACCCAGTCACAAAGAGGACGAGTGCGGACGACAAGGATGTCGCCATTCTCGCGAGCAGTAATTGCCGGAAACAGCACGAGGTCAACCAGTACGGCACCAAGTACGATACATCAGGAAGAAGTGCTATACGAGAGTACCCGCGGATACATACGGAAGACGTGATATAGGAGGTACGAGAGCCTCATGCACGTATAGGTGAGCACGTACAGTAGATCGTCGTGGAGGTTACATTGCAGCAGCAGCAGCAGCAGAGCTACGACCAGTACGGCGACCAGTACAGCCACCAGCATGGCGACAAGTACGGCAACCTGTATTCTGATGACCCCCAGGACTACTCTGGCTTTCAGAACGTGGGACATTTCGGTTTGGTAGCCAACGACTCCGATTCGGACCTCGGGGACTGCGAAGAGAGCGTGCCGTCTGAGCTTCGGAAGCATCCAGCAGAGCTGAGCTGCCAGGGCCACGGGACCACCAACTGACTTTACGATGACCTCCAGCTAAGCCACGAGAGGCACCAAGAGAGGTACAAGTGCAACTTGCGGAGCTACGAAACACACAAGCTGAGCTACTAAGGCAACTGGCTGAGCTACGCGAGCCACGGGCTGAACTACGAGGACCACAAGCAGGGCCAAGTACCACAACCTGAGCTGCGGGAGCCCCTGGCAGAACTACCCAGGCCACCTGCTGAGCTGCTAGGGATTTCAAAAGTTTCACGAGGGCCACCAGCTCAACTACGAGAGCCTCCAGCTGAGCCACAAGAAATCAGGAAGGGTGCCAGGGCCCCGGCTAAGCAACGCGGGCGACCTGGGACCCGCCCAGTTGCGACGAGGATTTCAAAAAGGACCACGCGGACCACAACCCGACCTACGGGAGCCATTGGTAGACCTTCTGGCGCACTGAGCTACAAGAGTGTCCAACATACCTGCGATTTACGAGGCCCACCAGCTGAACTACGAGGACCACGAGCACGCTTACGAAGACTCCAAGGTGAGCCACAACAGGCACCAAGAGAGGTGCCAGGACCACTTGCTGAGCTACAAGGACCACCAGCAGATCTACAAAGGCAACCCGCTGACCTGCGAGGGCCAGCGGCTGATCTGCGAGGGTCACCGACGGAGCTGCGAAGATTTAATTCGAGCTTCGGGAGCCAATCTCAAAACTAGCCAGGCCACCTGCTGAGCTACCAGGGCTTTCGACATACCTACGAGGACCACCAGCTCAACGAC